AGCTTAGGCCATTATTCCAGTGTTATTATGAACAGTTTATGCTAGTATTTAACTGTGTTATGATGGACAGCTTATGTTTGTATTATACTATGTTATGGTTAAGAAGAAATTCCATGTTTGTACCGGACATAAATGAGAGAAACTCACCACTTCGCGAAGTAAATACGTAAACTTACCACTGTCCCCCAGGAGGGACAATTTAAGAAGAAATTCCATGTTTGTACTGTACATAGGTGAGAGAAACTCACCACTTCGCGAAGTAATTCAATCTCAGTATTTCGTTTCCACAACGCGCATTAAATAAGTTTTAAAAGGTATATTTTGTACGTTCATATGTATGTATGTATATATATATATATATGTATACACCTTTTTATAGAACAATATACACCTTGTTAACAAGGCCTTACTGAGGAGAATTTGCAGTTGTCACCTAACAAGTTCAGTTAAAGTAATAAATTATGATCTATAGTGATTTGTTTGTTTATTTGAAATTAAGCACAAAGTTACACAATGGGCTACCTGTGCTCTGCCCACTACGGGTATCAAAACCCGGATTCTAGCGTTGTAAGCCCGCAGACATACCGCTGTGCCGCTGGGGGGGATCTATAACGACAAACAGTAGTAGTTTTTCACGTACAAATTTCAAGCAAAGAAAAAAGAAACATTATAGGAATAATTAACAATAAACTTTAGCATTTTTTTGGGTATAATAAACCTCATTATCTTTTTTAATTACACGTGGTAATTAACCGTACTCGCTTTGAGGTTTTCGGAAATTTAGAACTGCCTAAAAAAATACTCTTATCAAAAACGTCATGAGTTCTATTTAGTTCTCCAGTAAAATGGAGATGTGACATGATAACGAGAATATTATAATTTTTTTTAGCGCCCAAAACTTTAGCTGTTATCCTCACCTACTTAAACAATCCTAAAACAATGATATACTAATAGAAGAGATATTAAAATAAAAATTAAGGGACATTTCTACTGCGTTTATTTAGAATAAAACTAGTGGAATTTTTACATTTTTATGATGAACTGAAAAGCAGGAGATAACATAAAAACAACATGTTCGTACCGTTAATAGGACCATGCAAGAGCGTTGTTAGTAAGTGACTGATCGTTTTTTGAGAAAAAATATCTTAACAGTGAAATATCGATTACTAGAGGCTTTTTTATCATTATTTTAGCGCCACCTAAAGAAAATGTGAATTCTCATCAGGAGGAGTACCCAGTCCTCATTAAAATCTCATCAACTCTCCTTGAAGTTATGGCTAAAAAAAAAAGTTTCTGATGTAGCACAGTCAAGAAGCGTGAACACCAAGGTGCAAGTCATTGCTTCAGTTCAACACAGTTATGTATCAGCTGAACAACCTTCGTTAGTTTTTTTTTCTTGGCGTTGCGAGAGTTTTAAGCATTTCGGTCTTGCCATTATTGTCTCTGAGATTTGGAAATAAGCGATTGTCCAGTAGACAGCCTTTTCATAAAAAATTATGAAGAAACACAATATAATATGTTCGTTTCTTAAGACTATGCTAGTTTTATAATAGACATTTAACAAATCTGTATGGGTAATTCTTTATTTTCTCTGTTAGGGCTCCACGCAAAATAAAAATGGCCACTACGTGGCACTGGTTCGTAATACATCTGTAGTTCTTATCTTGAATTGGAAGTGGATTAAATTAAAATGAAGGCATAGTGTTCAAGTTTTCGATGCGAACGAGTTGTATGAACTGCTAAAGCAAGTTGATGCATAAATTTAAAAAATAAATATTTTTTCAGTGAGAGCTGGTTGTGGTCTAGTGGTAAGACTGGAGATTAAGGGGTCCGGGTCTGGAAATTTGATCCTGATGAATACGCTCCCACTATTGACGCGTTACAAAAGTGACAGTCATTCTCCTTATTCTGTTCAAATAGTTGTACAAAATATTGTCTGTAAAAGAGCTGCTATTCTTTCCCTTTTCCACCGGTCAGTATCTCAAGTTTAGAGAAGGCAACATTTACACCCTTTTATTTAGCTCGCGTGCACATAAAGTGTCTGTCGTTCAGGTTGAAAATTCAGTTCTCTTCTCTCTATCTCTCTCTCTGTTTTTCCCATCTGTCTGTTAAGCTATTTAAGCTACAAGATTTTATTAATGGCCCAAAAGTAACAAACTAAACTATTAATACTAAATTAGGTACAGTATGTTTTTCATACTTCACAATTGGCAAATGTAGTTTATAAATTCGATATTTTAGTGATTATTGCAGAGTTACACTTGAAGATAGTGGAATAATGGCCTAAGCTGTCCATATTGTCCCTCCTGTGGGACAGTGGTAAGTTTCGCGTATACCCGATTTGATTTTATTACTCATCAAGATATGTACCAGCCTACCCTCAAACTGAAATTCCTTAAGACAGGATCAGAATAAATTAATCTACAAGACCTTGGGCGTGGTCAAATACATTTATCGAAACGAGTTGCCCTCTGAATTCAAAACTGTAATTAGATCTCAAATCGGTCAAGAGATGACGAAGCTATGAACCAAAAGTTTCTGTTTGAAAAACAGACAAACAAACAAAAAACTCAGAGTCGTTCTATGAGCCGATATGCCGCGGCTAAAAAATACAGTAAAGATTCTGTTCTGGTGTTTTCATTAATCTTCGGCAATTTTCTTTGTATTAAAATCGATTCTTTGATTTTTTTCAGCAGGATTTCAACTTTATATAATGCTCTTCTATAACCTTTCATTCGTTTATATTATGAATATATTTTACACGTGTTTTTTAAATGTAACTTTATGTATTGCATTTCTAATGGGATGTCAGGTCGTGGCCTGGTGGTTAGGGCGCTCGACTCGCAATTTGAGGGTCGCGAGTTCGAATTCCCGTCCCACCAAACATGCTCGCCCTTCCAGCTGTGGTGGCGTTATATTGTGACGGTCAATCCCACTATTTGTTGGTAAAAGAGTAGCCCAAGAGTTGGCGGTGGGTGGTGATGACTAGGTGCCTTCCCTGTCATTCACTGCTAAATTAGGGACGGCTAGCGAAGATAGCCCTCGTGTAGCTTTGCGCAAACTTCCAAGCAAACCAAACGTTGGTTCAAATAAAAAGTTATTTTATAATTATCTGGAGTTTAAAGATCGTTTTTTTCT